CCCCTGGAGAAGGAAATGGCCACCCACTCCAGTATTCTTGCCTGGAGAATCCCATGGACAGAGACTGGCGGTCTAGAGTCCATGGATCAGAAAGAGTCAGATACCACTGAGCGACTAAGCACAAGATGCTCCTTGGTAGAGAGTATTTGGGAATTCTCTCTAGTATCTTCTCAATTTCTCTGTAAATCAAAACTTCTAAAAAATGAAGTCTATTTAAAAAACATCAAAAGGGAGACCACAGGGGGAAAAGCTTTATATGTTAATATCTTTAATAGCACTTTTTTCCTTACTTTTTGAACAAAGGGACTTGTATTGTCATTTTACACTGGGTGCCACAAATTACATAGCCTACCCTGCCTCTGTCCCTACCTCTGTCAACCAGACTTCAGACTAGGGTTGATTTGGACCCTTTCGAGAGGCCAAGAGGCCAAGAGTGAGTAAGGCTGTGAGAATGCTGGGGTCCAGGAGGGAAGAATTCTGTGCTCTGAGTTCATTTGGATTCTTGGAAAGGCAGTAGCCGCCAGTCTGGAAAGGCCCCCAGTCAGGCCAAATGGTGTTCCTAAGAAAGATCAAGGGATCTCTCACTCCACTCTGGTGAACAGTGTGGACTCAGAGCATCCTGGATCTGGAAGGGACCTTGTTCATTGTTCTACCACAGCCCCTGAGCCCACCTTTCAGGGAGAAGGAGGAGGACACAAAGGCATGGAGAAGGGTAGAAGGCACCCAGCCTCCACAGCCCTCCAGCCAGTGACAGCCCAAGCCCTGCCCAGCCAAGAGCCTGCTACTGCATCCTTCAGTCCAGGTCTGCACCTGCCTTCCCTCCCCTTGAGTATCTCCCAGAAACCTGAGGTATCCCCCCACCTTTGTCCTCAGAGTCCCTTCCTTCTTTCTCTGGGCATCTGTAGGGGTGTGTGCATGTGTGTATGTGTGTCCCTTCCTCATTTCTCTGGACATCTGCAGTGTGTGTGTGTGCATGCGTGTGTATGTGTGTCCTGGTTCAGTTAGGATGAGGCCAGAAGCAGAAGAGAGGGGCTCCTGTCACTGCATTTCCCACCTGGCTATTCCCCCTGGGGCGGGGGTGGGGGAGGCAGGCCTGGGAGCCCCAGGCTGGATGGGCCTGCTACAGTTCCAGGCAGAAAGTCTTGAGATCCAGGTACTGACATGGGTGTCATTAGGAAAGAATGAATAGGCGGTAGCAGCAGGGGGAACCTCTGGGCTGGAGAGAGCAGAATTCTTCAAGTCCATCTCTCAAGTCCATCTCCAGACAGATGGGCCCTGCAAAGGCAAACCAGACCTCCATGGAGTCTGTGCTGGAGAGGGGCTCCGTAGGCAAGGGCGGGGGGGGACTCTGTATCTGCCACACAAGTGCAGTCTCACAAGGGAGCAGGGATCCCTAAACCAGAGACCTATCTTGGGCTTCCTCAGAGCTCCCAGAGAAAGGCCATGCCCCTGGGGACTGTTGTCATGGCAGCAGCTGGCAAGGGCTGACAGTCTTCCTCCTTGGCTTGCATGGCTGCCCTGCCTGCCTTCTGGGACCTTCAGCTCCTGCTCCCTGAAAAGGCCTCTGCTGTCCACCTTGACTGCAGGTAAGCATGGCTACAGCCCACTGCCCAGTAGCAGTTTTACAAAAGTGTTAAAGGTTCAGTGTCTCATGTCACATTAGTTAGTTAGTTCAGCTCAGTCATGTCCGACTCTTTGCAACCCCATGAATCGCAGCACGCCAGGCCTCCCTGTCCATCACAAACTCCTGGAGTTCACTCAAACTCATGCCCATTGAGTTGGTGATGCCATCCAACCATCTCATCCTCTGTCGTCCCCTTCTCCTCCTGCCCCCAATCCCTCTCAGCATCAGGGTCTTTAACTGTCTCCCCATATATTTCCCATGAGGTGATGGGACCAGATGCCATGATCTTAGTTTTCTGAATGTTAAGCTCTAAGCCAACTTTTTCACTCTCCTGTTTCACTTTCATCATATTACCAGGGTTTAAAACCCATTTCTGCTCCTCACTGGACTTCCCTGGTGGCTCAATGATAAAGAATTCACCTGCCAATGCAGGAGACACAGGTTCTGTCCCTGGGTCAGGAAGATCTCCTGGAGAAGGAAATGGCAACCTACTCCAGTATTCTTGCCTGGAGAATCCCATGCACAGAGGAGCCTGGAGGACTACAGGCCATGCGGTCACAGAACACAGGAACAATTTGTAACCTCCCAGAGCCTGAGGCATCTCACTTTCAAAATGGAGTTCCTTAGACTAACTCTCACAGGACCCTAAATCAGCAGTATCAAATCAGATCCATGGGAAGAATTATTTCATCATCATCACCTTCCCTCCCCTCATATGTGCCAAGTAGCAGACCACATTCCTTTGTACCAAATGGTTGTCACCATGGCAGAACCCTCTTCACTTTATGCTCTCAAAGGAATCCCAAATTATCTACTGTCAGGAAGAGACTTAGAGCCAATACAAAGACACTGTCTTCATTACTTCTTTCTGGTTCTAATTCCTCATACCTCTCTGTCTGCCCTCCATGTTTAGCAAGTTCTCATTAAGGGTTAATTTATATTGGTTTGGAAGATTTCAGAGGCAACCATTAGCTTCTATCAGCTCTCCAGGCAAGAATACTAGAGTGGGTTGCCATTCCCTTCTCTAGGGGATCTTCCTGACCCAGGGATTGAACCCAGGTATCCCACATTGCAGGTGGATTCTTTACTGTCTGAGTCACAGCGGCAGAAGGTAAATCCACCCTAAGAAAGGAAAGGAGGGAGGTTGGCCTGGCAGGGCATACTCCTGGCTGCCACACCCAAAGGGAAACGGAATTTATTTGTTTCATTAGGAGTCAGAGCTCTTTGCTGAGGATCTCCCTTAGATCTTTCCTGAGCATGCTGAAGTTATCATCCCATTTAGTACTAATAGTGTGCTATAAACTAATATTTTGTAGCTCATGTACTGAATCTGGATTCAAAGAATGAGGAAGTGAATCTTACAGACAACATTTAACCCAGAAAAATATAAGCTTCTGCACTTGGGTTAAAACTAAACTGATGGACTTCCCTGGTGGCACAGTGGATAAAGAATCTGCCTGACAATGCAGGGGACATGGGTTTGATTCCTGGTCCAGGAAGATTCCACATGCCACAGAGCAACTAAGCCTGTGCACCATGACTACTGAAGCCCACATGCCGAGAGCTTCCACTTGACAACAAGAGAAGCCACCACAATAAGAAGCCTGCACACTGCAACAAAGAATGGCCTGCAATCACTGCAGCTAGAAAAAGCCCATGTGCAACAATGAAGACCCAGCTCAGTTAAAACTAAGTAAATAAATAATCTCTTTTAAAAAATCTAAACTGATTTACAGAAGTGCATTAACAGGGATTGGGGGGTTCTCAGCTGACTGCAACTTAAAGTGGATTCAACTGTGTGATATGGCATCCATGAAATCTACGATCTTAGGAGGCATCTGTAGATATATCTCAGCTATTCTAGAACGAAGGATGTGGTCAAATACCTCCATGCTACACCAGGAAGAATATTCAGTATTTTCAGACATTTATAAATTCAGGAGCATGTAGAATGGTGAGTGACTTTGAACAAATATATCACATTAGAATGAGCCAAAATAACTTGGGAAATTAAACTGAAACAAAAAAACAAACAGTGAGAACGTAATTGTTTAAAGATTAAATGAGATAGCATATGTGACAGTGCTTAGTGCAATGCCTGGCACACATGTTCAATAATGTTAATAAAAAAAGGATGATAATTAGTAGTATTATCATACTATCATTAGTTACTATTATTACAGTTAATACTTATAAAGTGCTTTCTATTTGCTGGGCACTACTCCAGGTCCTTTACATATACTGACTCATTGATTCCTCTTACCAGTCCTATGAGGTAGGTACTAATTGTCTCCAATTTTGCAGATGAGGAAGTAGAGTCACAGAAAAAAAGTCAAGAATATCGCACAGTGTCTCACAGGTGGGCAGGGGAAAGAAGCAGAATGTTAACTTCGCCAGAGTCAGGCTGTCAAGGGTAAAAGGCACTTTTGTTATTTTATATGTCTTTTGTGGGCTTCTCAGGTGGCGCTAGTGGTAAAGAACCCACCTGCGAGTACAGGAGATGTAAGAGACTCAGGTTAGATTCCTGGGTGGGGAAGACCCCCTGGAGGAGGGAATGGCAACCCACTCCAGTATTCTTGCCTAGGAAATCCTGTGGACAGAGAAGCCTTGTGGGCTACAGTCCATGGGGTTGCAAAGAGATGGACATGACTGAAACAGCTTAGCACACATGCACACACTTCTTTTGTAACACTCCAGAAGGGAGGACCAGGACCAATGTGTGTAAATTACAGGAAGGCAGATTACAGCTCAAAGCGGGGAGGGGCGGGGGTAAATTCTTTCTTCTATTATAATTACTGAATTGTATATATATGTAGAGTACATATATACAATATGCAAATACATATATATATATATAGCAAGGCCATAGTGTTAGTCCGGCTCAGTCGTGCCCGTCTCTTTGCGACCCCATGGACTGCAGCCCACCAGGCTCCTCTGTCCATGAGATTTTCCAGGCAAAGATACTGGAGTGGGTTGCCATTTCCGTCTCCAGGGGATCTTCCCAACCCAGGGATCAAACCCATGTCTCCTGCACTGCAGGCAGATTATTTACCGACTGAACTACAAGGGAAGCCCATTAATAATGCCATGTTCTCCATCAGAAATGCTCCCATTTCAGATAATCAATGTTTTCCAACTATTTGTACTTAGATGCACGAATGTGCATTCCGATTTATGAAAATCAAAGTACTCAGTCTTTTTAGATTCATGTTCTTCACAAACTTTACTTTATTCAAGAGTTCTAGAACTGAATTACCAATTTAGACGGGCGCTTCTGTTTGTGATTTAGGTCTAGAGACTCAAAAAATCCTGAAGTCACGGAAAAGTGAAAGCTTATTGCCCACGAAAATGACAAGACATGAGAATCATTTTGATAGAACCTAAACGGACATGATTGAGTTATGGATGTGGATTAAAACTGGAAGAGGTGGCATATGATAGTGACTCATTAAAGAGAAACAGTCCAATTTCAGTGCAGGATCTAAACTGTAAGGGAAAAAAATGGCCTTGGTAGCAGATGACAGGAGAATAAGGGAGAGAGGTGTTATCAAGGGAAGAGACAGAGAGGAAGAGGCAATAACCCTCAAGACTGGATGCTGACCATCTCTGGTAACCAAGAAAAGGCATATATAAACAAAAGAGAGGTGAGTGACATGTCTAGTGTGTCGGGGGTCAAGAAATACCGGCTGGTTGCGGCAGCACGGCCGCCGGTCAAAGTGGTAACTGGGGATCTGAGCTCGGCGGTGACGCGCGGCCCTCACGTGACCAGAGCCCGTGTCTGCCCAAGTCCTTCTCGTCCTGGTCCTTTTTGCCTGTCCAGACACCATCTGCCTATCGCCCTTTGGACGAGGGGGAAAGCAGAAGAAAGTAAGTCCCCTTCGCCCTCTTAAATCGGTGTGTTGGTGCTGCCCAGTAACCTCTGGGATTGGGATGGCACTGAGTCCAGGCGTTCTCCCTGCAAAACCCCGCCCCCGCGCCCCCATTTCGGTGCCAAAAATGGTGGTCTAGGGAGTGGGCTGGGGAGGTGAGTGGATCCCCCGGCCCGGGAAGACAACACGGGCACTGAGAAATAGTTTCTAAGCAGTCCTTCGCTTTCACTTCCCGCCTGAAAAGAAATGACGAGCGTTACTGGGTAGGGGCGGGGTGGGGGGGAGGACGAAGCTTTGAGATGGAGCGGGGCGGGGGGCAGGGGAATACAGGGGGGCGGCGGCCGGTGCCCAGAAAAGGGGCGTGTGTCAGTCTTTCTCTCCTCCCTGCCCCCTACCCTGTCTCGGCGTCTGTCTGCAGCTCCGCAGGTCACAGCTGGGCACCTGGAGGAGAGGCCGCCTCGGAACCAGCCGCCGGGAGAGGTCCAGGTAGGGGAAGGGGTGGGCAGCGGGCCGGGATGGGGTGCGAGGGAGGTTGCTGGAGGAAGCCGGGTCCACGGCACCGCCGGCCCGCTCCGCCCCGGTCCCTGCGGGAGAGGCCTGTGTGGCAAGGCCTGCCGGGAAAATGGTGGGCTTTCGGAAGGAGGGGGCGACAAGGTGGTGGGGGGTGGGAGGGGAACCAGACGCGGCGGTATCCCGGGGGCTGGAGAGCCCCTCCCGTCAGCGTAGGTTGAAGGACCCGGGCCCAGACTGGGGAAGAGGCAGGTATTGGAACTCGTGGGCGGGGTCTTAGTCCAGGCAGCGCGTATTCTGACTCGCTTCAGCCTTTCTTGTTTCCTCTGTATCACCGTGCTTAAAAAAAGACCATCCTGAACATGGAAAAAGCCTGCAAAGAGCCCGAGGAGCGGCCACAGAGCTCGCCCAAGGCGGATGAAGAGCGGCCTTCTGTGGAGCAGTCTCCCGAAAAGTCGTCTCCGGAGGAGCAGTCTTCGGAGGAGGCGTCCTCGGAGGAGGAGTTCTTTCCCGAGGAACTCCTTCCTGAGCTCCTTCCCGAGATGCTCGAGTCCGAGGAGCGCCCTCCTCAGGAGCGCCTGTCGAGGAAGGACCTTTTTGAGGCGCGCCCTCCCATGGAGCAGCCTCCTTGCGGAGTGGGAAAACACAAGCTAGAAGAGGGAAGCTTTAAGGAAAGGCTGGCCGGCTCCCGCCCGCAATTTAGAGGGGACATACACGGCAGAAATTTAAGCAACGAGGAGATGATAAAGGTAGCAGAGGAGATGGAAGAGATGAAGCGAGTACGAAACAAACTGATGATCATGCATTGGAAGGCCAGGCGGAACCGTCCTTATCCTATTTAATGTGTTCGGCCTTGAATTTTGTTTTGTCTGATGTATTATCACCTGAACTTTGCTTTTTCTTACATACCTTACAACGTCTTCCTAATCTGAACTTTTTGTGTGGCTTTGAGGTATTTCTCTTGTAACTGGCATAAAATTGCATCTCACCCCCATCTGCAAGACATCCTCTTTCAACCATGTCTTCTCCATTTGCATGGAAAGATGCACAGTATATATTGTGGAGTGGAAAAAAGCAATTTTCAAAAAGTATATGTAGTATCCCATTTTTGTAAAAAGTATATATTTATATATTAATATGCAAAGAAAAAACTCGAAGTATATACTGCAGAGGTTTAACAGTGACTATCTGTGTGGTAGGATAACAGGTGATTTGTTTTTTCATTTTTGCTTCATCTGAATTTCTCATTTTCTCAAGATGAACACATTTTACGTGTTACAAAAAAAAGACAGTACAATGGGAAAAATTGTAAAGCAATGAAAAAATTTGTCAGTCAGCTTATAAAGATAATGTGGCACTTAATAAATACTTTACAGAACTTTAAAAAAGAAAAGTAAATCCCATTTTTTTCTGAATCTCTTAGGCAGAAATGTAAACCAGGTACTGTACTCACATTTGTTTAAGGGTATTGTTTTCCTACTTAAATAGGAATAAGATGATTTATTATTTATGAATTATTTATTACAGGGCCTCAGTGGAACCAAGTGAGGTAAAGGTCATGTGAGCTATATTTTTTCCCCTACTGGCACAGGCTGAACCCCATCCCCTATAGATTCCCTTCAGATAGTGGGGATAGTACCCAAAGGCCTTGTTTGCACTCACAAATCCTGTGTGATGCCAGGTAAGTGCTACATACTACTCCTGTCCTGCTGTTCTTTTCCCTGGATACTGCCATGTCTGCTGGCTATAGTTGCCCCTTCTCCTGGGTCCTGCTCCTTCTGTGGCCCCCATCACGGCTGAGGTGCCAGAGTTCTCCAGGTGCAAAGCTTTACTGATTGCTCTGGAGCCACTGCAGGACCAAAACTGAACCCTGTCTCTTAACAGATATATGAAGGATGCCCCTTCTCTAGCTTTAATATTACACCTATCCAGGTGGATACCATCCCAGTGCTGCTTAAGACCTCTAAGTCTTATAGAATTCTTAGCAAAATAGTCCTTATTTATTTTTCTCCTGAAAGCCTCCCTTTTCTCCACTAGATGCAAACATGAGTTCACGTGAGCTTGGAGAAAAATTTGTGAGCCAGACACAATGCTATGTGCCTAGAATTGGAAACCCCCTCTCTCAGATAATCTCTGAGGATAACTATGGTTGTAATTGCCAAATACTTGTCTTAGGGTGAGTTCTCTACCAGAGGCTTCTGGCAGGCTTGCCTTACCAATTCCTCTAACTTGCTCAGTATGTATAAGTTAGAGGAAATTATGACTTAAGCTCAAGCTAGAATATTACCCATCTGCCCCACCTCACACCAACAAGAAACATGCAAAAGTACTTTGTAAGTCATTAAATTACTATATATGTCTGTATCAGATATTATGATTTCTGTGTTAAACTTGTTTGTAAAAACTTAAAATTTTGTTTATTGATTGTATTCACTTTAGAAACACAGACAGTGGTTAATAATTTCTCAGAATTATAGCCCAATCATGAACCCAGTCTGTCTGATGAACTACGTAAGATTCAATGTGTTCACATCTCTAGAAAGTATAATTTGCAATTCCAAAGGAATCTGGGAGAGGTATTGTTTCCCCAAACTCAACAGCAAAATTTAAATATTTCAGGTGTCAGTGTTTCTCCTGTAAAATAAGCAGAGACCTGGGCTCTACCCCAGACCCACTAAATCTGCTTTTCTGTTTATAAGCACACAAGCTAGAAAGTCACTGCTAGCTATATACAATATATTCCTAGTTTTAGTAAGGGTAAATTATGACATAAATAGAAGTACAGATGATTATAAGGGAACTAAAGAGGTAAAAGCCTTGTCCAACCATATTTTTAAATAAGGAATTAAAAATAACTCCATCAATTTTACTACATAAAATTTAATTTGGGGGGGTTCCCTGGTGGCCCAGTAATTAAGCCTCCATGCTTCCAATGCAGCGAAAAGCCTTGTCCAACCATATTTTTAAATAAGGAATTAAAAATAACTCCATCAATTTTACTACATAAAATTTAATTTGGGGGGGGTTCCCTGGTGGCCCAGTAATTAAGCCTCCATGCTTCCAATGCAGGGGGCATGGATTTGATCCCTGGTTGGAGAACTAAGTTCCCACATGTGGCATGGCACAGACAAAAATAAACAAAAAGTTTAGATTTTTTGCAGCAAAGCAAGACCATATACAGAATAAATATGTATAAATAAATAAAAACCTAAGAGAGGTGACAAAACAGCAAGATGTATTTTCTATGACTGACATTATGTAATGCCTTGCAGTACTTCCTTACAATATGAGTAAAGTACATCAAAAATAAGTTCAAAGTTCTTTGGTAATCAGATCTCAAAGTGGTAAGCCAGTCCTGTGCCCTTAATTTTGCTTTTAATTTTTTCACTGTGTGATGCCATTTGGAGGATCTTCATGTCTCCAGATCATTCCTCAAGGTTATGGTAGCCTGATGGATGCTGGTCCAGCTGGATTCTGGCTGGAGTGAGATAAGAGTCCAGCAACTCACCAGTTCTATAGGACAGGATGAATCTAGCCCCCTGGGCAGGATGTGGAAGGGCTCCCCCAAGGCACACCCCTCTCCAGGGTGGTCTGACATTGGTTTCTCTGCTCCAGCCTGCAGCAGGCACCAGACTCTTCTAGGCTGAGGGCCAGACTGTCCTAGACATGCACACCTGGAAGACAACGACTGTCCCCATTGCAGGTCAGAGCACTTTGCTTCTCCTTCCTTCTCCCTCCCTTCTATAGGGGAGGGGATAAAGCCCAAGCATTCCCAACTGGAAACACTGGTTGGGATACTCATTGAGCAAACGGGTGTCTGGCATGGGCCTAACCAGGTAACTTAGGGCTGAAGCAGAAGGGCCTGCCCCTTCTGTCAGAGTCCAGTGAAGTAGCCCCCCTCCCCCATCCCGAAATGGAGTTAGACCTCAGACAAGACCTCACCCATCCCTCTCCCACTCACCTTGCTCAGATTCCCAGAAGGGCCTCAGATGTGCCCTGGCCTGTTTGGGTGGTTCTGTGGTGACTTTAGGTCTGTGTGTGCTGGTGCGGCGCTTCTGATGTTTGCGTCAGCCCAGGCCCAGAGGTACAGGTGCCCCCAGGTAAAGGGAGCTTTAAAGGCCTGTGGTCTTACAGCTCAGGAGAAAAGAGGTGTCACTCCTGTATGAACACCCCTATGCACTGCAGCACCAGGGGTCAGGGCAGTCAGGCTGTGGGTTGGTGTGAAGATGTTTTGGAGGTGTTGATGGTGGAGGGTCAGCAGCATCCAGAGCCTGGTTGTCTAGGCCTCTCACCACTTCCCTGCTCACACAGGCTTGTATCCCTGTCACATGTCCAAGAAGCTACCAGCCTGCCAACTCCAGAGCACAAAGCATTGAGGGTCCAGGACCCTGGAGAGAGCTGTGTGCTAAGCAGGATGCCTACAATGCCTGGGAGTGGGAGCCCCTCTGTTGAGGCAGTGTAGAGGGATCAGGTTCAGGGTTCTTACAAAACACTCAGGCGCCAGAAGGTATGTGGATGACTGCCAGGAAAAAGTCACCAGGTCTTTGGTGGCCAGGGAGTCACATAGCTCAAATATTTCCTCAAAAGAACCTTTAGATCTCCCCTGACATTTATGCTAAGGCCACATTTGCTCCAGATTGTTCCCATACTCTGAGCACATTTGGGCAGCCAGAGCCAGGCAGTTTCTGCTCGTGGAAGGAGTCCCTTAACTTTGCTTGTCCTCTTCATTGTCCTGGCACAGACTCTCTTATTATTGCCCCACAGTCTGAGACTCTTCCTGCCTAGTCTGCCTTTCTTATCTCTCTTCTTTCCACAGATGTGACCTGTGCATCACAGTCTGAAGGCTTTTCTCATATCATCTGGCTCCGTCCTCTTCTATTTTTCATAGGTGTTCCCCCAGTAAATCTATAATCTTGTCTAATCCTATCTTGGCACTTGCTTTCAGGAGGGCCTGCACAGGCTCAGGGTATTTTCACAGATGAAAGCTCATGTTTCATATTTCTCAATAGCTGTACTGTTTTTCAGAGAGGCAGGGTAAAAAGTAAAAAGCCTGACTTCACTGGGTTCAAGTCCCAGGTCTGTTACTTTTAGTTGTGTGTCCTTGGCCTCTGTGCCCCTTTTCTAAAACCAGGACAATCACATTACTTCCTCTTAGGACTGTTGTGAGGTTATATGAATGATTTTTATACAGAGCACTTAGTCTCTCACACATATTAAATAATATCAGGTATTTTACCATCTTTGGTAGATGAAGGTAGAAGAGGGGGAGGATCTTATCAAGTCTTGTAGCTATAGATGAGCTTTGCTCTGGTACTCTCAAGATTCTAGAACTCTTAAGTGTATATGCTTTAGTGACTTTTACCTAGAAGCTAAAATTAAGGTACAAGCAAACACATGAACCAGTGAAATGGCATGATGATTCCCCTAACTTTATATTATTTAACAAAATCCAAAGTATCTCCAACTTCTGTTCTTCCTTATATAGACTTTCACATTTTGAAATATCTTTATATATATAATATATATATATAAACTGTTAACCATTATTACAATAGTTCACAGTTCATGATATACTTTAAAATCTCATTTGATTCTAGAAAAAGCTCAGCTAGGTGTTACCTCATAATGAATTATGAAAAAAATAAGAGGAAAGAAACAAGGGTTCCTCAATTCTTAATGGTATCTTTAAAGACCCTTAAGAGTCTGAGGACCTCAGGTTGAGAACCACAGATCTTAAAAATATATTATCACCCTTTTCTTTTGGGAAGGAAAACAGGTAAGAGAATTGTCATTTTTGAACATTTATTCTGTACCAGAAAATTTTCTTAGGCAAGACAGGCTTATATTTAATGGCTACCTTCTTTACTTTCTAAGTGTTTAACCGGTGTCATGAGGTTATTTCACAACCTGCTTCCATTGTGAAATCCACATATAGTCTCCTGAATGGAAAACTTATTTTTGTTATTAATGATATTGATGAAAATTACAAATGACAATTATAATAACATTTATTATGGAACTACCATGTTAGCTAAGCATTGAATCTGATGGGGTAAATACATTCTTTAAACCACCCTTCAGTTTCAGAAGGGAAGCCATTTAGTCATCTAGATGGCTATACATCACCTGTGTAGTTTAAGATGAGAAACTTGCTAAATCAACAGATTTGGATAATTTGGGTATACTTATTGTAATTGAAAATATTTTTAGTCAATAGGATAGCCTGGTTTACATCCTAATTAAAGTACTTTAGGCCTCTCCTGATTATTCCTAATGTGTTTTTTAAAAATGAAGAAGAAATCAGCTAAAATAAAAAGAAACCACCTATGAAATGGGAAATATTGAATTATGTCATTGAGATATTAACATGTGTATTGTGTTCTTATATCTCTC